AATATGATTCGGCTGGACACATGTACACTCTTAAAAAAGAGGTTCTTCAAGGGTTCTTGAAGGGACCATGACAGACAGTCGTATATAGAAACATTAACATTCAAAGAACAATTTACATGCTTATGGGTTATTTGTATGGTGCAATGGTTCTTCAGATTGATGGAGAATGCGCTGTATATGGTTCTACGTAGTACCAAAAAGGGTTCTTCTATTGTTACATGCTTGGCATCATAACAGCAGGTGCTACATACCACCATTTTCAAAAAGGTTCTATCCAGAAACACATACCACACGTTATCCATCAATCTAAAGAACCGTTTTGCCATGAAATGAACAGTTTAAGCATGCACATGGTTCTTTGAGTGTTCATGGTTCTATATAGAGCCACTGTCTTTACTAAAGAACCCTAGACAAACCCTAGAAGAGGGTTCTTCTATTGCTATACACTTGATGTCATAACAGCAGGTGCTATATACCACCATTTTCAAAAAGGTTCTATACAGAACCATACACAACACAGGAACAAATTCAACACAAAAGAACCAAATACCACACATTCTCCAATCTAAAGAACCATTTCGCCATGAAATTAACCCTTTAAGCATGCAAATGGTTCTTTAAGTGTTCATGGTCCTACACAGAACTACTGTCTTTACTAAAAAAACCCTACAAGAACCCTAGAAGAGGGTTCTTCTATTGTTATACACTTGACATCATAACAGCAGGTGCTATATACCACCATTTTCAAAAAGGTTCTATATAGAACCATATACCACACATTATCCATCAATCTAAAGACCGATTTCACCATGAAATGAATCCTTTAAGCACGCGAATGGTTCTTTGAGTGTTCATGGTTCTACACAGAACCACTGTCTTTACTAAAAACCCTAAAAGAACCCCAGAAGAGAGTTCTTCTATTGTTACACACTTGACATCATGACAGCCATATACAACACATTCTCCATCAATCTAAAGAACCATTTTACAATAGACAACAATTTAAGCATGCAAATGGTTCTCTGACTGTTCATGATTTTATACAGAGCCACCGTCTTTACTAAAGAACCCTAGAAGAACCATCTATTAGAGTGTATGACCCACACAAACTCTCAGAGTGGCTGCAAACATGTGAATAGGAAGTAGCAAGAACTAGCAGGAACTTTGCAACATGCGTCACACTGGGAACAAACTGCTACCCTGACAGAAAAGATTTAATGAACACCAGCTTCATCCTGGCAACCCGAAGCCTCAACGTCTTTCTCAACCTGTAACAACCCCCCACCCGGGTCCCTCCCCTCCAGGGGGGAACCACAAGAGGCCAACGGATAAGGCCATGGCTAAAGCAGTCTAAATCAGGGTCATATGGTGGATTTTAATTCCCTATAAAAACCACCAACTCTTAAAACAGCGGACCCTCAGGCCGCGTCTCCCTGGCAACCGCGGCACATGACGCCGGCGCCAGCGGACCTGTGACAGCGCAGTCATCGCCTGGCTGCAGATCAGCTGACTGTCACTTCCTGTTTGTGAGAGAGGGATTTAAAAAGAAAAGAAAACGAAACGGTGCACTGGTGAGCAACCAGTCGAGGAAGCGAAAGTGTGAAATCTTGTGCGGAGAGAAACAAAAGGACATGACACCCGGCCCTATCTGAAACCTTTAAATCTGTCAACCGCCGCTCATTTCGAGCCTTCGTGGAACACAACACCAAATTCAGCAAATACAACAACAGTGCCGGGAACGTTAGCAGGCTAAAGGGATAATCTGACAACAATGTACAGTTTCCCCCTGAATGAGGAACTTTATAAAAATAATAATATTAGTTACATGGATATGATGTCAAAGTCTTTCAGAGTGGTGTTATGAAGAATGTGCTTTTCTAGAGAATTCTTTACAGCGGTGGTGATCAGAACCAGACGTCTGAAGAGTTTAATGCCTCTAAAAACAAAGTTATATGAAGTAGTACGCTTGATGTCAGACATTGTTTTGCAATATGTTTATGTTTTTTTAATTCCATGGTGGAGGGTTACATGCAAAGTATTATCAAAAGAAAATGTTATTTTTTCCAAATTTACTACTACATTTCATAATAAAACAAATTGTGTGTAGACTCACTGGTCATTTTAGATATCAAAAAAATGGGCTGTATCTGTGTTGGAGGCATCATGACCCCTGGTTCCTATCACCACCACTGTACACAAATACAAGCTGCTAAGCACTGAATGACTGTTTATGTTTGACCTATGCAGAAAATGTTCCAAACATTTCCCTTTAACCCTAATATAGTCCTCCAAAACATGTTTGGTGTCTCAAGTTTGCCTTTTTTACCTTTCTCACTAGAGCTACAAGGCTAATGTAGCTAACAAGTAAGCATCAATGCTTATAACCTTTAACCGCATGTCTAAATCACACTTGCCTCAAACTGCGTCAGACTGTTAAGTAATCTGACCATTACTGACCCAAAACTTTCTTGGCTAATCAACTACATCTGAGGTAGGAGCTTGACTATTCCTTTAAAGTGGGATTCCACTTTTTTTTTTTTCCCCAAAAGCTCTGCATGATTACATGGCCAGGATGTAAACAAAGTCATTCAGAATGCTTTGATGTGAAATGTTCTGTTCTAGGCAAACTAAGAGTCAGAACCGTTCCCGGCGGTGGTGATGGGAACCGGACGTCTCAAGAGTTTAAGGCCTTTGAAACCTCCCTCACAGAAAGTTATTACATAAAGTGTTTATGAATGCACTGCCTGATGTCTGAAACACTGATTTATTATAGTTTGTAACATATTTTTAAATCCATTCATAGCGGAGGGACACGTGCAGGGTGTTGTAAGGCAAAAATAGTCCCTGAAGGAAGCTTATTTTTTCACATTTACTATATTTTACCACTGCATAAACACGTGAAGACACGTGTAGGTTCGCTGATTGTTTTGGATAGTAAATAAAATGGCCACATTTGTGTGGTAGACGCAGCGACGTCTGGTTCCTATCACCACCACTGTAAAGAAATCTGAGTCTGTAAGTTTATCCACAGTGAACCATTTCACTTCAAACCACTCTGAATGACTCTGTTTACACCTTTATGGTGCTACAATGCAGAACTTTTTGGAAATCAGTGGAACTCTGAGTGTAAAATAGTAAACCTGTAAGCCATGGCTTTGGGGTCATCATTCACAGCCCACTGTTTTCTGCTCGTCATCACAAAATGGCTCGAGGCTAGCACGCCTGGCTGGACACAAGGGCCGACATGCTGCTCTCCTTCTACTGGATACCCTCGGGGGGGGCAAATGCGGCATACACCGGCGAGATTCTTCACCACATTTGAACATACACCAACACGTTACAGCAAGCAGAGCGCTCCTGAGTGTGAATCAGCAGCGATTCCTACCCTTTACAGCCGCAAACCACCATTAGCTTCAACTCCAGCAGGTTTACAAACAAGGCACAGTCACCTAGGAGACCTTACGACCAGCAATATGGCCAAAGGAATGCGGATACCTCTTTACACGCATATGTAATTATACGAGAAGCTGGAGCCAGGTTTCCGAAGACAACCCAGTCTTTGCTGCATTCAAAAAAAACCTCAACCTTCAAACCAAACAGGCATTTTACAAAAAAGGCATGGCAAAGTAAGAATAGCCCGTTCACATTCTTGCGTGTCTTTGACTGGCAGTCGCTCCCACAACCTTCTCTACTGTACCACACATGCATTTGAGAACCAGGCTAAGGAATGCGACCCCTGCTCCTTCGCCGAGAGCACGGACGGGTCACATGACGCGGTTGCCGCTACATGACCCCATTAGTGCGACAAGGCAGCGCGAGCGAGCCGGGTTTTCCCGAACGCGACGCCCTGCTCTTGTTTGTTTGCAGTTTCATCTAAGTGCATTAGACAAGGGTCGAGGCCCCAGAGGCCAATGCTGTCAATCATATGCCGCTCAGTGGCATAATTGCACCTTGGATAGGGCCAAAAGGCCGAAGACAAACCACAGGAGATGCAGCGTTAACAGCCTTTTTGGGCTCTGAATGCACTAGTATTGGTGTTCCTGAGGTCTATAGCCAGCAACATATAGCAGCTTAAAAACCTACATTAGATATTATAACCCTTCTAAAATGTTATAAGAGTTAGAACCCAGTTTCATACACAGATCACTTAGAAAAGGAGCGTAAACAGGACATTTTTTTAAAAATGCAATCTGTATTAAAAGTCTTTGAAACAGTCAGAACAGCTGTTAAAAAGCCGGTCTGAAATTAAACGTACAATCGGATTAGAATTTCAATGGTACATCACATTTTGGTAAAAATAAAAGCAAAACAAAACTGATTTCACTGGTCTAGGGGATGTGGTTTGCGTTGTTCTGAGTCAAGGGGTCGGTGGGGGATCCCAGTACCTCTATCTTTAGATGGCCTAGACCAGTTTTCAGAGAAGGGGCTGAAAATTAGTAAATAAAACAGGCCAAATTCAGAGTGAAAAAACGAAAACTCCTTTGACAACAGGTTTCTTGTGTTATACTCTTAATCCTCCCCTCGATAAGGATTGCCAAGTGTAACAGTTAAGTACTCTTTTTTCCTGTGTGGATTGCCATAAAACTCCTCTTCCTCCGTTTCAGACCTTCTCAGATTGGCACTAAAAATCTGAACAGCTTGTTGTAGAAGGCACTCGACGCACGGCACGTCACCTCGACGTGCTTGCGTCACTACAGTAAGGTCCTGGCGCACGCTGAAGTAAGGAAAACAAAAACAAAAACAAAAAAGGAAGGTGGCACCGGTCAGTGTGAGAAGTGGTTTTGAACTTTGTCGTCATCCAAAAAAGTCTTTTGTCTCTTTTTTTAAAGTGTTTGTTTTCTCTCTCTTGGAAAAACAATAATTATGCTGACTCAATACTTCGGTGAGGAATCACGACGGCGATCCTTCAAAAAAAGAAAAAATAATACCAATCACGTGACGTCACACGGTTTAATATTTGGGGGTTCCTAAAGAAGTCCGCGCAAAAAAAAATAAATTAAAAAAAAAATTACAAAATAAAAGCACGAGAGCAAAACGGACAGGGAGCAGCCTGAGAGAGAGTAAAAAGGAGAGAGAGAGAGGAAAGAGAAGAGAGAGAGAGAGAGAGAGAGAGAGAGAGAGAGAGAGAGACAGAGAGACAGAGAGAGAGAGACTCCAACAGCCCCAGCTGTCTCCTCCTCCTCCTCCTCCCTTAAAGGAATTCTCACTGCAGCCAAGGCAAAAAAGAGGGGGGGGGGTTGAGGGGGGTTAGACACGTAGCTCAACAGTTCACAACCCCTCCAAAAAAAAAGCGCACGCCCCTCCAGATCAGCAGAGCAACAGGAAAAAATGTGAATTACAAAAGTAAACGTCCCCCATGTCTGAGCTGAAGAAGAGCAAAACAAGGGGAAAAAAGACTCCAGTGAGCGCGCGCGGCTGTCGAGTTGGTCTGAACGAAAAAAAAAATAAAATAAAAATAAAAAAAAATCCCACAACATTCAAGTATTCTGCCATTGTAAACACTGATTTCACCTGTGTCTTGTTGTTTTGTCTCGTGCAACAACACAAGATAGGCCCTCCGGAGGGAGAGAGAGCGCGAGAGACAGAGAGAGAAAGAGAGAGAGAGAGAGAAACTCTGGCCATGCCACACGCGCTCCTTGTTTTTGTCCCCGTAGTCTCTCGGTGCGCGTGCCCGCTCCGCCGCCGCCGCCGCCGCTCCCGTTACTCTCTCACAGGATCGCGCACGCGCAGCACTGCTCGTCCCCGCCGGGCGCCGCCGCGTAGTTCATCTGCCGGACGATCTCGGCGAAGAGCTCGTCCACGGAGCTCTTGTTCTTGGCCGAGGTCTCCATGAACGGGCAGTTCCACTCGTCGGCCAGCGCCTTGCCCTCGCCGGCCGCCACCTCGCGCTCGCCGTCCAGGTCCACCTTGTTTCCCACCAGCACCATGGGCACGCGCTCGTAGCGCTTGACGCGCACGATCTGGTCGCGCATGGGCTTGATGTCCTGGAAGCTCTGCTGGTTGACCAGGCTGTAGACCAGGATGAAGCCCTGGCCGTTCTTGATGTACAGGTCGCGCATGGAGGCGAACTGCTCCGTGCCCGCCGTGTCCAGGATCTCCAGCACGGAGGGCGACGAGTCCACCTCGATCTCCTTGCGGTAGAAGTCCTCGATGGTGGGGTCGTACTTCTCGATGAACGAGCCGGTCACGAACTGCACCGTCAGCGCGGACTTGCCCACGCCGCCCGAGCCCAGCACGACCACTTTGTACTCTCTCATGGCTCCGCGCGCTCCCTCGCTCGCTCACTCACTCGCGCACTCACACACTCACTCACCCACTCACACACACACGCGGCGCACCCGCGCGCTCTTTTCCCTCTCCTCGGTGAGCGCGAGCCTGCCCCGGGCCGTGCCCCTGCATCAGAAAGCCCGTCGCGGACGGACCGTGTGCGGTGGCTCCGTGTTCAATGCACGCACACACTCTTCTCTGTCGCTCTCTCTCGCGCACACATACACACACACTCCCTTCCTGCCCCACAGTCCTCAGCGCGCGACGTCTTCACGTCACAGCGCGAGCAGGGAGTTTCTTAAAGGCGCCGCGCGCCGACCAGTACCGAGTCTCTTTATAGGCAACAGGCACCACGCCTGCCCCACTGGCCGGTCCCGGTCCACTGTGGCGTAACGTGGCCTGAGTCACCGCCACTGGGGATAAACATAATTTAATAAGAATAATCAGAATTATGACTTAATATCTCATAATAATGACTTACTATCTCTAAATAATGAGAATGTTCTCATAATTATTAGAAAGTATGTCATAGTCATTATTATGAGATGCTAAGTCATGATTGAGATATTAAGTCATAATTACAGAAATGATTCTCATTATTATGGGAAAGTAAGTCATGATTATGAGATAGTTGGTCATAATTATGAGATGCTATGTCATAATTATGAGAAAGCAAGTCTATCTCTAAATATTGAGTATGTTCTCATAATTATGAGTATAAAGTGTGTCAGTCATTATCATGAGACGCTAAATCATAATTGAGATATTAAGTCATAATTATAAAATTGAATCCCATTATTATGAGAAAGTAAGTTATATTTATGAGATGCTAAATCATAATCATGAAAAAGTCATAAATATGAGATTGTCAGCCATAATTGAGATGCCATATCATAATTTTGAGAATATAAGTCATAATTATGAGATATTAAGTCATAGTTATGAAATAGTAAGTTGTACTTATGAGATGCTATGTCGTAATTATGAGAAAATTTGTCTATTAAGAGACGCTAAGTCATAATTATGAGATTGAATCTCATTATTATGATATAATATGTCATAATTATGAGATGTTAAGTTCTCATTATGAGATGCTGTCATAATTCTGAGATACTAAGTCATAACTCTGACATACTAAGTCACAATTACAAAATAGTAAGTTGTACTTATGAGATGCTATGTCATAATTATGAGAAAACTAGTGAATATTAAGAGATGCTAAGTAATTATGATATCATAAAGATTGAATCTCATTATTATGATATAATAAGATGTTAAGTCCTTATTATGAGATGCTGCCTTTTCAAGGCATTTACCTGTAAAATGTAGGTGGAACTTAAAATGAAATAGTCGTTTTTGTATAAATATTCTTTGTACTCGTCTAAAGTCTAAGTCTAAATCCTAAATTAGTCTAAATTATGACACATTTCACATAAAATATACGATACATTTTCACTGAAGGTAGTTTTCAGCGGGCCTGTATTTCCTTTCCTTGCCTATCTTAGGAAGTCATAGCTTAAGGCCTTGGGCTATACTACATTATAATATGGGAACTTCACTGAACTGGGGTTTGGCCAGGCCTTCATCTTGATCGCTAACCAACATGACAGATTAAAACCTCTGTTAACATGATACCACTGAGGAATCTGGGTTAGAAGAAGCCTTTGGTGAGCCTAGATTAACCTCGAACGAACAGGACTGGGCTTTTCAAACGTAGCTTAAGTCCTTAATCTAAATCATAGTCTCCACTGAAAATTCTTCTCAGTTAAGATCTAGAATAATCCAGCCCACAATGTCAACTTATTTGCGCAAGCAAACAGACGTCACATTGTTGTCATGCGTAGACTAGTCTAGACTCATGCACCCTTGTCGAGGCTGGATATTCCCCTCAATCAGCGGTTTACCTAATAACTGACTCGGAAACCAGTCTGCCTGTAACAGGCCACATTAAGTGTGACTAAAAATAGCTGCTAACCTGTGGCACAGAATTGAGTCACTAGCATTTCCTGTGCATCATCATACAGACAGGAGATAAATGGCTTTTCATATGTCGGAAGACTGGTCAGAATATTATGACCGGTGATATAGCTGCCGATAGGCGCGGCCCTGGAAACCACCTTTGGCCTTCTCTCGGGGTCGGTGGCGGTTTTGCATTAGAACAGAAACTTCCGGTTTACATACAGTGATCATCTCAAGCAGAAAGAGTGATCAGCAGAAATATGTGTGGTATGATTTCCAGGATTTTGCAATACTCAAGCAGACACACCCAGCAAAAGGCCTAGTTTTCTCTTCCAGCTCGAATGCCTCAGTGCCATGTGTTGGATATTTTGCAGTGGACATCATTCGTCTGTTATTCATTTCTTCCAGATTTCTCTTTCTCAGGCAGAGAAGATGTGGACCAGCGGTTTAGACAGTTACACACTTTTTCAGCACCTTATCGACTAGGAGTGGGCGATATGGACAAAAATATAACATCACAATACTTCAAGACATGATATGCATCAAAATCTTGTTTTTTTTTGGGGTTTTTTTTTAGTTTGTTGAGTTTTTCTAAGTTTGATAAGTTGAAACAGCTAAAAGGAACCTGATTTTTTGTGATCAATTTTTTATTGAGGTTTGGGGGTGGGCAAAGAAGTAAATAAAAAAACACACATTGTGAAAAATATGACCAAAAAATGTAAATATCATCATGGTTATTCAACATTTCACATGCTGTGCTGCTGTAAATCCATTTAAACAGGCCTAATTATGCTCTCTTTGTAATGAAACATGCTGTCCTTCGAAGCAAAAATTCAAATGTCCACAATTTTCACTTACTCCCAGTGTTGTTGGTCAGCTGAAACCCATTTGGTGTCCAGATTTTGCTTCTTTAGTTTAGCAGCTACAAGGCTAAAATTGCTAACACTAGAAGTCAATAGTCACCCAAATCTTACGTCCCCAAAACATCTCTCAAACCACGTTCAGGTCTTCATTAAGGTTGTGCAGGCTTGTCAAAGTGGTTTAGGACACAGTATGACTTACTAGGAACTATAAATCTGAACAAAGCTTCATCGTATAGCTGAATGCTGCAGGCAGCAACTTTAGATATGTGCTCAATTCGGACTTTCCCTGGGGAATTCTGGGTTACTTTCGTGTGCACGCCTGTGTTCTCGATTTCTGTTGTTTTTATTCTACAGTGCCCATGTGTATGCCCTAAGCCAGGGGTGTCAAACTCAACTACTAAAGGGGCCATATTAAAAAAATCTCAACAAATCTGTGGGCCAGAAAAAATGTTTTTATTTCATTTTTAATTAATGTTGCACTATAACATGAAGTGGCCATCCTTTATTCAAAATATGCAAAAACTTCAGCAGTAAAATGCAGGCACTTGTAGTAAACCTTGAAATATGACATGAATACTTGAAATATTTAAAATGTAAATGTTCCCAGGAGCTCTGTGTTTTAAACCTACCTATTTGCTTGAACTAGACACCTGGCATCCTTTCTTTGCTGTTCATTAATACTTGGGCTCAGTTTCTGATCTGCAGAGCTGACGCTAAGTGTTTATATTGGTTGAACTGCAGCTGAAATGCAGCGTATTTGGTGACATGACTGGTGTAGAACTGTGTAGAGTCGTCTAGAATTGAAGTGTAACCGCTGTCCCATAGACTGTTGTTGGGGTAGGAAAGTCAGAGCACACATTACGTTGCAGTGCATGCTGGGCACTGTAGTGCAGCACATTGTGAAATGGGCTATTTTACTAGAACATTGAAACACTTCTGTGGGCCGGATAGGACTGTGCTGCAGGCCTGATGTGGCCCGCGGGCCCTGTGTTTGACATATGGGCCCCAAGCCATAAAGTATTCTAAACCACATTTACAAGTCTGCATGACCTTAATAAAGGGTCCAATTTTAGCAGGTTTTGGAGATGTACTTTCAGAAAATATTTAGGTGACTATTGACTTCCAAGTGTTTTTTTTTAGCAATGTTAGCCTCGTAGCTCTAGCGCTAAATACAACTGCTTACTCCAACAGTAACGTAACATACCTTATATATTGTATTTATAGGATTGTGTGTATATATACATGTATATATCATTCACAGATGTGTTTATAATTGTGTATATATATATACACATATATATCATAGATACGTGATATTTATGCCTGTTATTGCTACTATTTGCACTTCTAGTAGATGCTAACTGCATTTCGTTGCCTTGCGCTTGTACTGAGCAATGACAATAAAGTTGAATCTATCTATCTATCTATCTATCTAAACTAAAGAAGCAAAATTTGGACACCGAATGTCTTGCCTGATTAAATACATCTGGCGTAAGTGGAACAGTGTGTGCATTTGATTTTTTACAGAACCATTCCTTTAACTACTGTGATTTCCACAATATGCTCAGAAACAGATATTATGAGTTAATTTGTCACAGTAATAATTCACTGCTGTTGGAACAAAACCTCATATCTCCAAAATGAGAACTTTACAGGAAAAGGAAAAAACGTAGTCCACTTTTAATGTAAGTCAATGGAACCAGACTTTTTTCCAAGTAATTTTGGACCGCTTCTTTTGATCCATTCATCATGAAATTTACACACGATGTAAAGAATACCAAGCATTTTAACATGATGTCAAAAACTAAAAATACAAAACAAAAATGGACATATGAGGTTTTATTTCAGACAGCAGTGAATTCCACTTATTCCATTTAAACCCTTTAAAGTACAGGCTTGTTATTCTACTATTTAGCAGCTACTATGAAACGAATGTGTTAGTTTCTAGATATGAGAGTGCAGGCTCACATACAGGCCTTTGCAGTTTAAAGGGATATATAAATGGCCCTTAGAGGACGTGTAAAGGCCTCTTTGGCAGTGAATTCTATTCTTAATTCTTCTATTCTGTGCTGAAGGGACTCCACAATAAAGAATCAATCTCAACACTTGATTGCGCATATTAATTATCATGTTCATGTGCTCTGGGGTGTGATACAGCGATGACAGCCGTTCAATCAATCCCACAAACACCTCCAGCCATCAAACAATGATGTGATATTATTACATGTTCAGAAATGGCAACAAACAGTCTCCCACAGGCCAGTTTATCCTTCAGAAAATTATGTATTGCTAAGAGAAAGTATCTTAAATATTATGTGCATATCTAATATTTCTCATTATGAAACTATTATAAGATTATTCAGTCGTTTTTTTTTCTTATATAAGTGAAATGATCTTATGGTACTATCTGATTGTTTAAAA